CTTCGAGCTGCTCCACCTGAACCCGGAAAGAGGCGAGTATGAGCCGCCGCAGCAGCAGCAGCAGCAAGGGGAGGAGCAGGAGCAGCATCAGGGGGCAGTTGTGGCGCCTCCGTGCAACGGAACAGCCGGCGATCTGACGCAGCAGCTGCAGCGCCTGCAGCACCTGCTGCTGGCGGGGCAGAGCAGCAGCAGCATACGGCAATTCCTGGGTGCTGCTCTTGCTGCTGTTGCTGCTTCGGGGGGCCCCTCAAGGCCCCCCCCCGAGGAGCTCGCCCCCGAGAGCAGCAGCTGGCGCCTCTCGCTGGGAGGCAGAAGCAGCAGCGGCAACAACGACGGCAGCAGCAACGGCGGCGGAGAGGAGCAGCAAGATGCTCTCCCTTCACAACTTGACGAGCCCTTTGCTGCAGCGCGGCAGCCTCGAGATTGGCTGCGGGGCCACCTCGAGGGCTGCAGCTCCGAGCAGCAGCAGCTGCACGAAGTGGTGCAGCAGCGGCCGAGGCCCATAGGCCGTCCGGAGGGCGCCAGGCCAGCGCCTGTGGGGCCCCCTGCGGGGCCCCCTGCGGGGGCCCCCCAGGGGCCCCCTCCGGGGCCCCCCGTGGGGCCCCCAATGGGGGCCTCCCCTATGGCCCTTTCGGGCAACCTTGGCGACTCCCCCTCTCCCGTGGGGCTCCCCCTTGTGGACCCCAACTGGCTGGGGGCCCCCAGCCCCTGCCAGGCTGTGCCTTTGGTTGTGCCTGGGGGGGATTTGCTGTGGCGGTACAGCTCCTCTGCAGCAGAGGAGGCGTGGGGCCCCCGGGGGCCCCTGGCGGAGGGGCCCCAGGGCTTTCTGGACTATCCGCAGAGCCAGGGGCTGCAGCAGCAGGGGGGCCCCCTTAACTTCCCGGGGGGCGACCCCCAGTGGCCCCAGCCCAGGGGAATTTCCCCAGGATTCCACGCAGCAGCAGCAGCAGCAGCAGCAGCAGGAGAAGAGGCCCCGGTGACCCCCAGGTACCGGCTGAGCCCCATGGTGCTGCACGCCTACCAGTGCAGGACGGGGGCCGCGGGCGGCTGCTTCCCGCCCGCAGAGGAAAGAGAAGCTGCTGCTGCTGCTGCTGCTGCTGCTGCTGCTCAGGGGCACCCCAGGGCCTCTTCCGAGCGGCTGGTGCAGCGGCCAGATGCCTACAGGGGGGGCCGCTCGCAGCTGCGCTACGCGCAGCGGCATTCGCAGTGCAGCAGCATGGGGCACAACAGCGGGAGTCACTTCCCAGAGGGCCCCCTGGGGGCCCCCGGAGGTGTGGTGGAGCAGCAGCAGCAGCTGCCGCAGCAGCAGCTGCAGCGGCCGCCGCGCAGGGCGGGGGGTCTCGGCCCGGCGCCGCGGTCGGCCACCAGGGGCAAGCAAGTGTTCTACTACTGCCCTTCGTGTTTAGAAGCTTTTCCTCCGTCTTCTTTGTCTCTTTTTGCTGCACACATCTCGCAAAAAGGACACATAGTGCAGCAGCTGCAGCGGCTGCGGGGCCCCGACGGCTACTTCCAGTGCCCCAAGTGCACCTGCAAAGGCAGCGACCTCTTGGGGCTGCTGCGCCACTGGCACGAGGGGGGCGCAGCTCACCACGGGCAAAAGGTGTTGAAGCACATTCGTTCGAAAGACGTGCCCCCTGGGTACGCAGCGCTGGACGCGGTGCAGCTGCAGCAGCAGCTGCAGCAGCAGCTGCAGCAGCAGCTGCAGCACCAGCAGTACGCGCACCAGCTCCAGCACCACCACCGCCACCCCCAGCCCCACCACAGACTTCTCATGCACCACGAAGTTTCCGCAGAGTCGCCGGGGGGCCATGTGGACTCCCTGGCATTTGGAGGAGGGGCTCCACGGCAGCCCCACCATCTACACCACCTCCAGCAGCTCCAGCAGCTGCAGCAGCAGCAGCACCAGCTGCAGCAGCAGCAGCAGCAGCAGCACCTGCAGCAGCAGCAGCACCTGCAGCAGCTGCAGCAGCTGCAGCAGCTGCAGCAGCAGCAACAGCCGCTTGCTGCGCACCAGGGGGGCCCCGGCGCATACAGCGGGCACCGCGAGAGGGGCCCCCACCCTTGCCGCAGCCCAACCCGCAGCGTGGGCGAAGAGGCCCTCTTCAAGGGCACAGCCCCAGGGGCCTCTGCTGGCAACCTGCAGTCTAAGGGAATTCAGGGCACGGAGATCAGAAGCACCACCGTGAGCCAGCGAAGCAGCGCGTTGAGCGACGAGAGCGAAGACAAGCTGCAGCGGCGGGAGCAGCGGCAGCGGATGCAGCTGCAGCAGCAGCAGCCGCAGCCCCAGACGCAGACGCAGCCACACCAGCAGCAGCAGCAACCCGAAACTCCCAGTCCTCTTGTGAGGACGGACGGGCGGCCGGATGACGGCGGGGTCCTCTCGGGGGGCTTCGCTGCAGAAGAGGCCCCCAGGGGCCCCAGGGGCCCCAATGGCAGCGGGAACTATCATAGGGGGCCCCACAGCTTTGTGCCGCACGGCACAGGTGTTTGGGGCGGAGGCGTGCGAGCCTTCATGTCTGGGCAAAGGTCGGATCCTCGGCAGCTGCACCGGAAGCAGCAGGAGCAGGAGCAGCAGCAGCAGCAGCAGCGAGGGTTCACCTTCTCCGCTCAAGACTTTCCCTCCTTGAAGCCCAGGCCGCACGCAGGCCTGCAGCAGCAGCGGGAGGACGAGCAGCAGCAGCAAGAACATCAGGAGGAAGCAGCCGGCGGCTGCTCACAAAACAGCTTGCTGCTCTTTGGGGCCCTTCTACAAGGGCGGTGGGCGGGCGACCACAGCCCTTGGCTGTTCGGTGCCTCCGCGCCACATCACCAGCAGCAGACGCAGCGACAGCAGCTGCAGCATCAACAGCAGCAGCAGCAACAGCAGCAGCAGCAGCAGCAGCAAGCGCCGCAGCAACAGCAGCAGCAACAACCGTCGGAGCGGCAGGAGCAGGCCTAAGTGGCAGCGCGTTCCTCAGGCGTGTTGTGGGGCGACGATTCCGCAGCAACAGCAGCAGCAACAGCAGCAGCAGCAGAACCGGTGGCACCCGTTGCGCCGCTGTTCATGAGTTACGTGAAGCAGCTGTGCGCCTAAGGGTGAACATTTTGTGATTTAGGCGGCACCTGGCAGCAGCAGCTCCAGCAGTGAGGGAACCGATACAGCAGCAGCTGCTGCAGCAGAAGTAGGCCTAGATCCCTTTGTTTTTAGCGGGAATATGGGCATCGTTCTTGGCGCTCCGTTGGGGCTTCAAGTGGGGCACTCGTTGCGAGGCCTCCCGAGCATTGTATGTTTTTCTGTGTTTGTCTGGCCGGCACAGCAGCAGCAGCAGCAGCAGCAGCGGCAGCAGCAGCTGCAGCAGCAGCAGCAGCTGCAGGACCAGCAGTAGCAGCAGCGTTTGGCGATTTCTAGGAGCAAACTGCGACGGTCCCCTCGACGTGGCTCCGTCCCTTTTTTGGATAACTTCTCGTTAGTTGTTTTTGAGGCAGCTGCTGCTGCTGTTTGCAATAGCACGAGCAGCAGCAGCGCGTCTTCCGTTGTCCCCTGCCGGCCAGCTCTGAAGGCCGTCTGTGCGCCTGGTTGTGGAGACTGAAGCAATCCCGCAAGCAGCAGCCACGACGTCTGTTGCTGCGTTTGCTGCAGCCGTGCTGCAGCAGGTGCCGCAGTCGCAGCAGCAGCTGTGGCTCCCCGCACGGACTTTGTAGGTGTCGCAGCGCCGTCGTGCGGCTTAGGAACTTTTCGAAACTGGCTGCCGGCCGAACGAGCAAGTGCAGCGGCTGCTGCAGCAGCAGCAGGTGCTGCAGCAGCAGCTGCGGAGGCAGCCGGAGAAGCCGAGACCCACTTTGTTGTTGGCGATATTTTTCCGAAGCTCCCAACAGTGCCTTTGTGCGTGTGGTGCTCTGCTGCGGGCACGCGTACGTGCTTGTATGAGTGTGTATACATACGTAAATATGTATATAGTGGACCCAAATACACTTATTTTTACCTAGAGACTGCTTCGCAAGCATGCACAGACGGACCCCTGTGCAAAAGGTCTTGGGCAGACCTGGAGCCTGCTTAGCGAGCCCCGCTGCCGCGCCTTTCTTGGGGGCATGCGGCGCTTGGGGCCCGCTTGAATTGTGCTTGCTCAGTTTCCTTTTACTGCGGGGAAGAGGTTTTGCCGCAAGGCTTTGGACTCCGCTGAATACATTGGAATCTGCAGCCAGAAGCCGCAGCAGGCGAGTCTGTGAGGGGGGTTCGCTGGCCCGCGCGCTCTGCGCATGCAGCATAGTGCCTGTTCAGCTTCGCAGGCCTAGCCGCTGAGTAGCCGCGAGAAACAGATACACAGTAGCTGCCGCGGGGCCCGCGTCGGGTGTACAGACAGCTCACAGCAGTGACACTTAGCGCACAAATGGTTCTGCTGCAGTTGCTGCTGCAGCTGCGACTTAAAAAGCGCCGTGGCTTCCCCACAGTTCTCGCGCCCGCCCCCAGCAAGCGGGGCTGCGGGGGCCCCTGCGGCGCGGCACGAACAGCCAACGCTGCGGGCCTCTTGTGGCCAGTTGGGGGCCCCTTTGGGTCCTTTTCACATCAGCACAAGGGCCTCGCCAGCTATTTTCGTACACGCAACACCAGACGCCGCGGGGGGCCTCTAGGCGAGTCGGGGCTGTTTTTTGCACACAAGGGCGTGGCTGGGGGCCCCCCGGGGCCCCGCTTTGCCTGCCTAGGCACAGGAGGGGGGCCCCTGGGGGCCCTTTTTGGGCATAAAATGATTGAGGGGCCCTTCGGGGCCCTCGTTGATAAAACAGAATGCAGTACAAAGAGGTGGAACCCCCGGGGGCCCCAAACAATGAAGGAGCCCCAGGGGCCCCGCACACTTGAAGAACCCCTGGGGGCCCCGCACAATGGAAGAGCCCCTGGGGCCCCGCACAATGGAAGACTCCCGGGGGGCCCCGGGGGGCCCCTCTGGATTAAGTGGCAGCAGGAGACCCGGGGGGCACCCCTGCTGCTCGCGGGGAGCTGCAGCAGCAAGTGCTGCGCTGCTCCGCTAAGAAGCTGCTGCTGGCATCGGCAGAGCCGCCAGGCGGCGGGCGCCGTAGTAGCCCTGAAGGACGTTTGTGAGCTGCAGCAGGAAGCAGAAATGCAGACACAAACGCATGCAAATGCTGCAGCGCAGCAGCAGCAGGCGCAGCAGCAGCAGGCGCAGCAGCAGGGATCCGCAGGCAGCAGAGAGGAGACCCAGCCTCCAACAGACGTGGCTAAATGAAGTAGCAGCAGGCGCTCACAGCAGCAGCAGCAGCAAGAAGGACTGCAGCGGGACTCACCGCTTTGAATGCAGCAAATGGGAGGCACGCAATGGCGCACGCAGTTGCTGCAGAGGCACACACCAAGCAGGCAGCAGCGCCAGCTAGAGCAGCAGGAGCAGCAGGCGCCGTGGCAGCAGCAGCAGCAGGCGCCACGGCAGCAGCAGCAGCAGCAGGCGCCACGGCAGCAGCAGCAGGCGCCACGGCAGCAGAAGCAGCAGCAGCAGCAGGCGCCACGACAGCAACAACAGGTGCCACAGCAGCAGCAGCAGCGCAGCAGCAGCAGGCGCCACGGCAGCAGCAGCAGCAGCCTCAAGCCGGAGCCTCACAAGCGCTGTGGATGAGAGAGCCAGGGGCAGCTTTTGCTGCTACGAAAAGAGCCACAAGGAAACCTTCGTAAGAAATGATGCACAGCAGCATCAGCACTGCAGCAGCAAACGCGCAGCAGCAGCACAGACGCAGCAGATGAGCACAAAGCCCGCAGCAGCGGCCAAAGCTGCTCGGCTTTGCTGCATCTCTGCTGCAGCTCTGCTGCAGCTTTGCTGCGGCTTTGCTGCAGCTTTTCTGCAGATTTGCTGCAGCTTTTATGAGATTTTATGCAGCTTTTATGCGGTTTTGCTGCAGCTTTGCTGCAGCTCTGCGGCTTGCAGCAAGCAGCAAGCCGAGCCAGCTAGCTGCTGGCTAGCTGTAAGATACAGAAACACTGCTGCAGCAGGAGACGAGCTGCTGCGGAGCAGCAGCAAAAATGCACTTTCATGAGACAAAAGAAGATAAGAGGAGCAGCAAAAACAATTCAAATGCAAACAAAGACAAAGCCAGCGGCCCCCCCAGCGATGGAGCTTCCCCCAGGCTTGCTGCTGCTGCTCGTGCTGCAACCCACTTTTACGGGTGTAATACTGCTGCAGGATGAAGGGGGCCTCGTTGACTTGCTTGTGAGACGCGGCGCCCGCGGCTGTGGCTGCAAAGAAGTGCAGCCAGTGGCCCCCCACGTCTGTCAGCAGCAGCAAAAAGAAGCCTGAGCAGCAGCAGCAGCAGCAGCAGCAGCACAGCAGCAGCAGCAGCAGCGCAGCAGCAGCAGGGCGGGACAGAAAGGCGCAATGAAAAGGCAAGACACTTCGACGCCGAGGCGAACAGCAGCAGCCAAGGAAACACAAATGCAGCCGAAAAGCCTCGACACGCAGCGGCAGAGCAGCAGCGAGGAAACAGCAGCAGCAGCAGCAGCTGCTGCTGCTGCTGCTGCAGCAGCAGCGGCCTAAGCTGCAGCGCACCCCAGGCATAGTGGGGGCAGACTGCAGCATTCAGCAGGTAGAAGAGACACGTAGAAAGCCGGTCGAGCAGCTGGTCCAAGCAAGCCCCAAAGAGCGACACTGAAAAAGCACCAACGCAAACGAGCTGCTGCTGCTGCTGCCGCTGCTGCTGCTGCTGCTGCTGTTGCTGCTGCAGGGTGGGGTTCGAGGGCCCTGCGAACTCCCTTTCTCTCATTTTGTCTATTTCTTGTCTTGTTCGAGATGAACTCTTGGCACTGTAGAGGGGCACTTAGCTGCTGCGGCTGTGCTGTGCAGCTCACGGGGGGAGCTGTGGATAGGCCTAGGGTTTAGGGTTTAGGGTTTAGGGTTTGGCTTGCCTTGGTTCAAACGCCTCGCTGTGTGGCCGTCTGCTGCGTCCAGCAGCTGCGAGGCGGCGTAGCAAAGCAGGCAGAGCCACTGGCTCCCCACGAGAGCAGCCACCAGCAGCAGCAGCAGCCGCAAGTACCCTAAGCAGCAGCAGCAGCAGCAGACACGCAGCCACAACGCATGCACCAAATAAGGGCATTTCCTGCTGCTGCTGCGGCCATGAAGGGGCCCCTGGGGGCTTCCAGGCCCCCACTGGTGCCCCAGGGCCTCCGGGGGCCCCCTAGTGGGGGCCCTGCAGCGGCCAAGCTGGCCCCCTGGGTTCTCTGGCCGCAGGGGGGCCCTAGACACGTCTGCAGCAGCTAGTGGACGGTGGGGGCCCCACTTGGGGCCCCCAGGGCGGGGCCGGCGGGGGCCCTCACCTATGAGGTTGGGGACGTACAAGAGGACCTTGAGGACCTCTGCGTCTCCTCTGAGAGGCGTCTGCTGAGCCATGGTGAACAAATAAAAGGCGCTGGAGAAGAGAGCTGCTGCAGGCAGCTGGGGGCCTCTGGGGGGGGGGCCGGGGGTCTAGCTGCGGCGCTGGGGGGCCCGCAGCAGTGTCTGGCTTTAGGGGGGCCCTTCGAGAGCTCACAGAAGAAAGTATTTGCAAAAAGAATTGTGTTTTGGCTGCGAGCAGCACAGCAGCAGCGAAGACCCAGGGCCCCAGGGGGGGAGGGCCCCAGCCAGCTGCTGCTGCTGCTGCTGCTGCTGGTGCCGCTGTTTCTGTGAAGCGGCCAGGTCCCATACGTTCCTAGCGCTGACACCTTTTGCTTAGGGGCCCCTCGACTTGTTTTTTATTAAAGACCGACAAACTGCCATCTTGCTTCTTTGCAGCGGGCACGGCCGCCGCTCTCCTCGGTCACCGCTACTGCGCACACGAGTCTCGCCGCTGCAGCTGCTGCTGCTGCTGCTGCAGCAGCTGCTGCAGCAGCGGGTTGCCCAGCGCGGCCTCAGCGCCTGAATTGGGTCTCTCTGACGCAGCCCCCAGTCCGCCGCGGCAGCTGCGTCCCCCTTAGGGCCCCCAGCTGCTGCTATGGGCCTCTACAGGCCCGCAGCGCCTCCGTCTTTGGCCTGCGTAGCTGCGCTGCAGCCGGCGCTCAGTTGCTGCAGCAGGGGCTGCGTGGGGCTGGCTGCAGCAGGGAGAAGCCCGTGAGTCTGCTGCTGCACCCGCCGCAGCAGCAGCAGCAGCAGCAGCAGTCCCTCGATCTGGCCTGCTGCTGCTACTGCGTTCCGGGCAAAGCCCCTGCGCCCTGCTGCTGCTGACGAAGACAGCCGAGACACTGTCTTCTCTTCCTGCAGCCCGGGAGCGCATGCACGCGCAGCGACAGCGCACCCCGCAGCAAACACAGCAGCAGCAGCCGCAGCAGCAGCAGCAGCAGCAGCCACAGCAGCAGCAGCAGCAGCAGGAAGATGGCAGACCCCATAGACCAGTGGCTAGAGGAGTCGCTCTCGCTGCCGGCGCGGCTGCAGCGGGAGCTGCGGCTGATGGCGCAGCTGGACGCAGCAAGTGCAGCAATAGAGGCGCAGGTGGGGTTTCTTTTGAGTTTTTAAATTTTGCTTCTTTTCTTTTTCTTTTGTGTCTCCTTTTGCCTTTTTGCTGGCTGCTTGGTCTTGCTGCTGCTCTTAAAGGCTTTTGGAGCCCCGGTGCTGCTGCCTATCAGCTCTCATTCTGCTGCTGCTGCTGCTGCTGCTGCTGCTGCTCTTGCTTCTGAGGCCCTCTCTGCGCCTTCGCCCTGCTGGGCCTGCTGCTGGCTTCCTGGAGCTTCTGGTCTTCTTTCTATTTGCTGCTGCGCCTCAAGCATGCCTAGCTGCTGCTGCTGCTGTTGCTGCTGCTGCTGCTGCTGCTGCTGCTGCTGCTGCTGCAGGTCCGGCAGCGAGAGGAGCAATTTCTGCGTCGTCTTGAGGCTCTGAAGGCAGAGGGCAGCCCTCTTGTGTTTGAGGGCATGGAGGAAGAGCTCAAACAAATACATGTAAGCTTAAGGGTTTAGGGTTTAGGGTTTAGGGTTTAGGGTTTAGGGTTCAGGCTCTGAGGCTCAGCCTGGGCCCGCCCTCGCAGTGCTTCTGCCGCAGTCACTCGGGCTGCAGTGCTTTTGCTGCTGCTGCTGCTGCTGCTTATGCTGCTGCTGCTGCAGGAGATGCAGCGCAAGAGCCGCGCGCTGCTGCGAGAAAAGGTAGAAATCAACAGACACGCTGCTGCTGTGCTGCATGCGGAGCAGCAAACTCTTGCAGCTGAGCGGCAGCGGCTGCTGCAGAACCCAGGCATTGCTGCTGCTGCTGGCGGCAGCGCAGCAGGGTCAGCAGCAGATACAACTGCTGCTGCAGCAGACGCAGGGGGGATCAGCGGCAGCAGCAGCGCTCTGAGAAGACGCGGGGGCAGTGACCGCATGTCGGCAGCAGGAGGTGCAGCAGCGCAGCAGCAGCAGCAGCAGCTCGCCGGGGCCAGCAGCAGCAGCAGCAGCAACACAGACCGGAACCAAGCAGGCATAGCCGTATCAGGCGCTTCCCATGCCACCCGCGCTTGGCCTGCTGCTGCTGCTCCGCAGCAGCAGCTGCAGCACCAGCATGTGGAGGACCCAGCGATGCTTCACCACCAGACTTATTTGCAGCAGCAGCAGCAGCTGCAAATGCAGCAGCAAATGCAGAGGCAGCACATGCAGCAGCAGCAGATGCAGCTGCAAGGTCAGCAGCAGCAACAGCATCCAATGCAGCAGCAGCATCCAATGCAACAGCAGTACATGCAGCAGCAGCAGCAGCTGCAGGGGCCGCGCTGCTTTTCCGCCCCAACAGCTTTACCTCAGTCCCAAGGCAGCGAGATAACTGCAGAGGTATAGCTTGTGCTGCTGCTGCTGCTGCTGCTGCTCCTGGGGGCGCTACTTTCTGTATGGAGAGAGTGCCTGCGGTGCTATAGGGTTGTACAAAACGCAGCAGCTGCAGCAAGAGCTGCTGCTGCTTGCTTCCCGCACTGTTGCTGCTGCTGCTGCTGCACTCTCCAAGCAAACAGTGCATTGCACGTAACTGCATCGTGGAGCGCACAGTGGCTTTGCTGGTTCTGTTCACATTTGCTGTTGCCTTTGTGGCTGCTGCTGCTGCTGCTGCTGCTGCTGCTGCTGTCGTTGCTGCAGAGTGGCAGCAGCAGCTCGAAAACGGCGCGAGGAAGACTCAGCAGCTCTGCTGCTGTCGGCGCGGGAGGCTCTGGCTCTCGCCAAGCAGCAGCAGAGGGGCCTACCCACGGGGCCAGCCACTCCCGCAGGGGCAGAAAGGTGGGCCGCCGGCGCGTGCTGCTGCTGCTGCTGCTTTCTGGGCTGCTGCTGCTGCTGCTGCTGCTTCGTCAGCTGCTGCTGTTGCTTCCTGGGCTGCTGCTGCTGCTTCCTCGGCTGCTGCTGCTTTCGCTGTTCGTGCTGCTGCTGCAGCAGCTGCTTGTTCTAGCTGCAGCAGCAGCTGCAGCTGAATGGCTAGTGCTTGCTGCTTCTGCTGAAGCGCATGTGCGCCCTTGCAGCAGCAGCAGCAGCAGCAATAGCAGCAGCAGTGCCAGCAGCGCCTATCGCTCTGCGCTGTTTGCTTTTCGTTTTAATTGCTTCTTCAGGCAGCAGAAAATTTGGTGCTGCTGCGGCAGCCCAGCAGCAGCACAGCAGCCAGCAGCGCGAGCTCTCCCCCAAACGAAGGCTTCAGAGCCGGAGCAGGGGGCCCCCTGGGGGCCCCCGCAGCTGGGGGGGGCCCCCAGGTGGCCCCCAATGTGAAGACGCATGCAGCGTCTTCTAGGAAGCAAGGAGGCGCCAAGGCAGCAGCAGCAGCAAACCGAGTGCGCTTTCATCTTCTTGCTGCACCTTTGCTTCTCCTCGCATAGAAAGTAACTGCCTTAACTTCTTCTGGGGGCCCCGCAGTGCTGCTGCTGCGCCTGCCCCTCTCAGGGGGGCCCCCGGGGGCCCCCGGGGGCCCCTGGAGCCCCCGGGGGGCCCCTCTATATCTGTTTCTTCATTTCTGTCTGTTCCTTTTGAGATGGTGTTTGCAAGTGGAGAGAATTGGGACATTTGTGCAGATTTAAATGCATTTTGGTGTATTCATAAGTATATTATAAGTGCGTTTTGGATTAAAATGCATTTTCGTATACTTATAAAAATGTATTTTGCTTAGCTGAGAGTCTTTGCTTCTGGCTGCGCCAGCTGCTGCTTCAGGGGCTTGCTGCAGTTGCTGCTGGCTGTGGGGCGCTGTGCCTGTCTGCTGCGTCTGCTGCTGCTGCTGCTGTTGCGGCTGCTGCTGCGGCTGCCGCTGTGGCAGCTGTTGCACTTGCTGCTGCGTTTGCTGCTGCGCCTGCTGCTGCTGCTGCTGCCGCGGGTGGGAGTCAGCTGCGTGCGCGCTGCTGCTGCGGCTGCTGCTGCTGCAGGAAGAGCCCGCGGCGCAGGGGGGCGGCTCGGAAAGCTGGGAAGGCGTTTGCCCAGTTTGTCTCCGCGGAGAAGCAGCAACAGAAGTTATTAAAATGGTCGCCTGCGACTCCTGCAACCGCTGGTTCCACTTTGAATGCGTGGTGAGCAGCGACTCCTCTGGGGGCCCCTAAGCGCCCTCTCGGGGCCCCCTGGGGGCCCTCAGGGGGCCCCTAAGGGCCCTCGGAGCCATCGGGGGGCCCCTAAAGGCCCTTGGGGGGCTTTGGGGGGGCGCCTAAGGGCCCTCGGGGGGCCCCTAAGGGCCCTCAAGGGGCCCCTAAGGACCCTCGGGGGGCCCTTATAAGGCCCCCGGAAGTGCATTGGGGGCCCTCTGGGGGACCTCTCGGGGCCCTCGAGAGGCCCTCTGGGAGTCCTCTGGAGGGCCTTTGGGGGCCCCTTGGAAGTCCTTGGGGCCCCCTGGTCCCGGCTGCGAGCCCTCTGCTGCTGTTTCCCTTTGCTGCTGCTGCGGGGCTGGTGTGGAGCGCAGCTGTGCTGCTGGGGCTTCGCCTGCAGCTGGGGCTTTCTGTGCATGCATGCGAACTTCTTCTAAGAGTTGATTGGGAGTTCTTTTGCGTCTTTTGCTGCCTTTTCAGGGGTATGCAGGCGAGACAAGAGAGGACGACACTTGGTACTGTCCTGACTGCTACCGCGGAGGAGCTGCGGGGGGCCCTTGAAGGGGCCCCCAGGGGGCCCTTCAAGGGGCCCCACAGGAGGCCCCCCTGGAAGCTCAGAGCCCCTGTGGGGGCCTCTAAAAGCCCAGAGGCACCCCTAGAGGCCACGCCGGGGGCCTCTCAGGCCCAGAGGCACCCCAGAGGCCCCTGTTGGGGCCCCCGAAGTCCAGGAACCCTCCAGAGGCCCCTAGAGGGTCTAGAGGCCCCTATAGGGTGTAGGGGCCTCTACAGGGTCTAGAGGCCCTAGAGGGTCTAGAGTTACCTGCGAGGCCTCAAGAGGGTCTAGAGGCTCCTAGAGGGCCCCCTAGAGGTTCTAGAGTTCCTACAGGGTATACGGGCCCCTAGAGGGTCTAGAGACCCTGAG